ATGGCCAAGAGGTGGGGACAACCTAACTGCCCATCCAGAGATGAATGGATAAACAAAATGTGGCACATATATACAATTAAATTATTCAGACTTAAAAATGAAATCTTATCATATGCTATAACATAGATGAATCCTGCAGATACTGGGCTAAGTGAAATAAGTCAGTCAGAAAAAGACAAATACTGCATGATTCATTTCACTTATACGAGGCATCTAAATGTGACTAGTCAAAGTCATAGAAACAGATAGTAGAATGGAGGTTGCCAGGGGCTTGGGGTAGTGGTGAAGTGGTGAGTTATTTAAATGTTAGAGTTTCTATTTTGCAGGATGAAAAAATTCTAGAGATCTGTTACACAACAAGGTAATTAACATGTCATTAACATTACTGTACCCTTAAAAATGGTTAAGATGACAAATTTTGCTTTTTATCACAAAAAAAGAATCTGAAAAACAAAGAGGGGCCACTTGAAATAGGTATACTAAAAGAAATTTAGAAATTTTGGGTTTAGCTAAGGAATATTTCTGCAGTCCTTAAGAAGGAAATAGTACCACTAAAAAAATTTAACTTTCCTCTAATTATAAAAGTAACATATGTCCCCATTGTGCAAAGTATACATATATATCACAACTAGCCTTTAATCTAATAGTCTTCTTATGAGGAACAATTAACAAATTTGCAAGATGATCTCAAGGGAACTAAAAAGGAAGATCTCATGCTTCAAATATAAATGTAAATGTTGGCTTTGCTTTGTTCCTTGGGGTACAAGGCAAATAACATATGAAAAACACAAACATTTCCTTTGGTATTGGTTTTACTGAGATAAAAATGGCCTTTCTTACAAAATCATTTCAAAGAAGAACAGAAGAAAGTTAAACAGAAGAGATTTTTCCTAATTGTTAGCCCCAACAAATTCCCCTAATCTGTAGACAATTATATTCTAATAGAATGCTTACCATGTTTACAACACAAGTGACAGAATCTCCCAAAATATTTTTTATGATTAGTCCCCTTTTATTTCTTCTATTCTAACCTCAATTTTAAAGATTATTAAACATACACACAAAATCACAAGGATTTTCTAACAGTTCCATTTCTTCCGAATGGGGGTTAGTGATGTTTTTTAATATTACTCAAAGCAGAAAAAAGGGGCTGTTTTACTTTTCTTTGGAACAAGTTCCTGCCAGATTTTGCACACTGCAGTTCTTTGGTGATGTGATGAGAACACATGCCCACCCACAGACACTAATTTTGCTCTTCACCCTTCCTAAGCAGCCTTTCTGACACATGCTGTCTATGCTCCATTTAATGGAATTCAAGAGGCCCAAACAGAGGAGCCCCATGGGGCCACAGCAACAGCAAGCAGCCCATCTCCTCTACTGGATGGGTACAAGGAACATGTGTTTAAAACAAAACCACCAAAAAGCCAAACCTAGCTTGGACTTCTCCACTAAGAAAAATCTTTACAACTGAATGAATTAACACTGAAAACAAATCTGGAAAGAGATAGTATCTTGTTGCCATTCCTTGCACTCAGAACTCTATGAAGATGATGCAGCTAACTCCCTCGGCTGTTCTCACAATGTGCAGCAAAGAAGGTATCACTCTCATCCCAAGCCAAAAGCTCTTTCTAAGAGGGCTGAAGTGCCAGCCTGGTTCTGGAGCATTTGCTTTCTCTACGGTGATCATTAGTCATGAAGGAACCTTGGTGATTAAGAATCCAACTGGGAATGCATATGGCTTCCCTCAGTATCCCACATACATCTCAAGGAAATCTAGGCACAGTCAAACCAACAAGCTGTCGGCAAACTTACACCTGGAAGGATGCTCAGGACTAATAAATGTTCACTTTGATTTGATAAGAGAGTGGTCATCCATCCCATTTATGTTTTCTTATGAGTGAGGTTTATGTCCTTAGAAGGCTGTTCCATGCTTGTCTCTGGCTTTTCTGAGCCACACAGGAAAGTTGCTATTTCTAGATAATGATACAAGTTTTACCTACAAGTGTTTTCAGGTCCACCCACCAGAATGACCATAAACTTCAGATGCAGGGGGGACAATGACACAGCAGACAGCAGACAACAGACAACAGGCAATGGGCTGGCCAAGCCTCCCACTAGGGGCGATCGCCATGGCCACACACCCATAAATCACACATCCATGCAGCAAGAACAGACTGCAGACTTAATAAACAGGTCTCTCCAAATACAGATAAGTGTTTTTAAATGTTGGTAGATGATCTATAGTGATTTTATATAAACTTATTTTTATGAAACATTTACTGAATTCATAAAAGCTTTCAGTCTTTAGAATACAATTTTAATAGATGCTAAAAAGGGGAGAGGTCTTCAAGCCAGTAAAGATTGGGAAAAACAATATGTTCCACTAAAATATCTTGGATACTCTAACCTTTTAGGATTCAAATGCTCTCCCTGGCTGCCACTCTCCCCAAGAAACACAGCCAAAAAAAAAAAAGTCTTTTGTCCAAGGTTATGTCACTCGACTTGGCTCAGAAAACATGGCCACCAAAATAATCAAATGGATTTTTGAGTCGAACAGTTCTTTCTTGATTTTCATCCAAGAAGAGTTAGGTTCGGAAGAACCAAAAAAGAATAGCTTAAAGTTGCTTATACACATAGCAATTAGTGGCTCTGGATTATAGACTCCAGTAAATCTATGAATAAAAGAAAACTCAGGGAGGCATCTATCGCCGATAATGATAAATCCCCACTAGAGCGGGAGTTAAAACAAGGACAGGGCTGGGCCCAGATGGAAAGCATTTTTTAATTTAACACTACCCAGCACATTGCTCTGAACATAGGCAGTGTTGCACTCAATACCTATTGATTGTTTCCAAGTTGAATGATATGAGACCTCTGGTACTGGCCGTGGCTCTGTATTCCTTTGCCCTCAAAAGGGAAAGAAGGAATCTAAAAACTATGTGGTCACTCTGGTCTGATAGCTCATGGTGCTTAACAGCAAAGGGGCCCCTGAGGAGGGGCAGCCACAACCCTGCGAGTGATTACTATTGCCCAATCTCAATGGTCAGTGTGCTCTGTGTGTAATGCAACCAAAGCTAAAAGAAATCTATGGTGTTCTGGAAAGAATATGGACAGGACCTGAGCTAGTCTCAACAGTACAAATCACAGGAAGACAAGACATTTTCACAGAAACCACCAATAAATCAAATGTTTTTATAGCCCTGCATATAATCATTTTCTGTAGGCCTCAAGAAAAAAAAAATGATATAATGAAACCTAATGTTTTGGTGAAATCAGAGAAAATTAGGTATTCTGCCTTTAATTAGTTCACATTATTTTTCTGATAACTTCTGACAAAGCGAACCCTAAGTTGAGTGTGGTATTCACCAACACTGCAAGAGAGAACCCCATTTACTATAAGATTGCAAAATATAGGCTTTAGTTCAAGCTAAAATTTTTCAAGAAGCTTTCCTTCCACAACTTGGACTGAAAAAGGGTCCTCACTCTGTATCTGAAGTATTTTTTAATAACACCAAATGCTATTATTAAATATGTACCACATATGCATGTATACACATACACATATAAAAATAAGCACTACAGATGTGGGCAGGAAAATTCTTAGCAAAACCCCCACATATTTCAAATACTGTTCTTCCTCATTATTGTCCTCTACCATAATTAGCATGTTACAGCATAACAGGTGGCTTTCATTTATAGAATGCAAAATTAATGAAATTTGGAGATGGTCCTGTCTCCAAAAACAAATTGGGCATTCTAAATAAAGTGTACCCCTTAATCTACAAAACAAATAGAAACAAACCAAACTCCCTTCATGCTAGCCTTCCAAATTATATGAATTTCTGAATGTAGTTAAATAAGTAAATTGAATGCATTTACCGACAGCTTAACATTCATACACCTCAAGGAAAACAAGTCATGTTATGGGCCTTACAAGAAAGAGGAAGAGAAACAAAGACCGCCTATTTTCCCAGTTTGGCAACCCCAATCTGCTTCATGCTCTCTGAGTGGTAACAGGATTTACCGCCATAGACTGGGCTGCTCCACAAATGCTAAATCTTAGGCAAATTTGTGGGCAGTTGTGTTGTAGGTCCTGACCTAGCCATTCTGGACAGACAGACCAGGAAAACATAAATAGTACTGCTATAAACTAACTGTAGCATCTGTCCCTAACAAGCGGGACTCAAAAGTATTTTTTAAAAATATGAGGAGACACTGAATAGACTGTCAACACACATAGGAATGTTTAATATACTCACATAAATAAGATATGTACTTTAACTAGTCAGGCATTGTTTAAATTTAGTAAAGGAAGGGAGAGGGTCAGACAGGCAGACACAGCCTCCCAATTATGCAGAACGATCCTTCAGATCATGTGAAAGCTATAATTAAATGTTGCTACCAAGTCCCCATAACCCTTTCTCCTACCTAGATAAAGTTAATGCATCAATTCAGTGTGAGCAAATTGTGATTTGCAAAAAATAGCCATATTCACTCAGTAGGGGAATAAAGCTTTCTTGAATTAAGTTGCGGATCTGGGGGGGTAGAAAAAAAGCACAATACTGAAAGAAATCCAACGTGATACAATAGTTATTGTTAGACCACATCCTTCAGCTCACCTCTGCTTATTCAGTTTTTTAAAGCTCTAAGCTACGCACCCAAAAGGTATACCAGCTCTGCAAGCTGTTTCCTAGGCAGCATCTTTGAAATTCAGGAGTTAATAAAGGGATGGGATGGGTTAAAACATTTCTATCTGAATATCTAAGGAGAAATTGGTTTCAAAAGGGAGGATGAGTAGGTAAGAGCTCTGTGTCCATCAACAGACCAGTGGTTACCTATCAGTCCTTGCACATGGGCACACACACAAACACAAACACACACACTTCAGTTCTTTACAACTAGGATAATTTTTCTCCTTTAAAAAATGTTAAAAGCAAACACTGGAAAGGTTAGCAGAAAACAACGAGAAAATGAAGTTCATGTAAACAGTAAGCACATACCTGCTGGGCGATGCCATTTCCTCTACATTGTAGAGCCCAAGTGCTGGGTATTAGCATTATTGCTACTATAAAGCTTCCGATAAAAATGGATCGTCTCTTGCTGACCTGAGAACCAGCTGGCTGCCTGAGAAGTGGTTTCCCCCATATATGATTCAGTCTCCTTGACAAATATACTGCATTGTACCGGATGACTCATCCGAGGGTTAGTCCGCATTTTATAGGCCTGTTGTGTCATTACTCACATTCAACATCCTGCTTCTCAAAAGTGGAAACTGGAAGCCTGACAGCTGACAGATGCTTTTTCCAATTAAAATATTGTTTAAAAAAATTCCTGTAAGTTATGATTATCAATCATTGATGAGAGTATGAAATGCCCAGGAAGCAAATGGCACAGCTCAATACCTGAGATTGGTCTGTTGAACCACAAGTGCAAGTTCTTCACCAACCCGCATCCCTAAACCGAATAATTTTGTCCAGAATTAAGAGCAAGGATCCCCCTCTTTCAAATTATCAGTTAAATTAGTATAAGCATGGATTGTGTTGATTCTTGTGTTGTAAGGTTACCCAGTTTCAGGGACTATGTAAAAACTAAATATCAAAATTTTAGTCCCTGGATTAATTTTGTTAGGTGTGATAGTGGCATTGTGTTTATAAAATGTCTACTTTTTATCGGGGTACACTGAAGTATCTCAGAGATAAGTGATATGCTATCTGGGAATTGTGAATATTTTAGTAAAAAAAAATAAAAAGGGGAGGGGCTAAAGAAATGTGGCAAAATCTCGATAAATTGCTGCATCTGTGTGGTGAGTATATATACATGCAGGTTGACTGTATTTTTCTCTCTTCTTTGGAGTATCTTCAAAAATTTTCATAATAAAATGTTTTTAAAAAATTTAAAAAAATTTTTTCAGTCTCTATGATCTAACTTATGCACAAACAAGGCGTTTTTCTAGTTAGGTATGCAGCTACCACACATGTGAGTGGGGGACACTACTCACACAGTGAGACAAAGTGGCCTGTGGGTGTGGGAGCTGCACTTGAAGTTGTTTTAGCCTTCCAGCCGGAAGGTATGATATGTGTCCCAAGGCCATTGTGAGTGTTGCATCAACCCCCTGAACAGAGGCCTGGCATCCTCTCCTCCCAAGGCTGTCTGGTGACTGTTTCCTTGTGCTTTCTTTGAGGACACAAGACCCGGCTTCGTTCGTGAGCTCACTGTTAACAGTATGAAGGAAAGGTGACTATTTCCAGCTTCCTTATATGGCTTTGGAAAGGCTCCACGAGAGGTTATGTAAGTCACTTCCATAGTCTCTTACACCAACAAATCCCTTTGTAAGGTGGCACAGTGTTTGCTCAACTCACTTAATGCTCAAATTGGGTTACTTAAACCATCTGGAGGAGGAGGTGGTAGAGGGCTTTGATTTCATGGCTGAAAAAAAATTCAGGCATGGAAGCTCCAATGTATATTAAACGAAACCACTGTTGAAATTAAGTGTCATTTAAACAACTATTCACATTGATGTGTTGTGAAAACACGACAAGTAACCACAAGAAACTCAAAATAGAGATCACTAAAGCCCAGAACCCCTGCACTATTCCTTTAGTTCTGAAGCTAAAGCATGGGAGGGCATTTCAGGCTGAGTCTCCCACCTCAGCTAACAGCCAACTCTAATTCTCAAAGGACGCTGTCTAACAGGGCCACAAACTGGGTGCAAATGGATGGGACAGCCCTCATACAACATCAAATTAAAACTTCACTAATCCAGACTGATTAGGATTGTGTGTGGGCCTGAAATGAAGACTTCTTTGGCTTTTTTTTAAAACAAATTCTTTCCTCATAAGGACTGCAAACTACAGGCTTATCAAAATGTTCCCCTGCAATTTTATAACCTTTCACACACTTAAAAAGCATAATGTACCTAAAGCCACAAGTAGAAACTGGGGAAAATTAATAAACTTCTAGCTTAATTTGAATTTCTATAAGTATTTTCAAGAAATAAATCTGTGGTTCATTAAAGGATTTTAATTCAGATTTCACTAATTAAAAATACAAAAATCAGAGCAATAATAATGTGGTACACACAAACACAAAGATTGAGAATAAGGCAAAAATGGTAAATGTTAACAAATGGAGAGTTGGTTATAGGAGTCCTTTGTGTTCTTGCAATTTTTCTGTAAGTATAAAATATTTCAAAATAAGTTAAACACTCACAAACACAAGGAGAAAAAATACATAACCTCTTGTTACAAAAAAAAATTTTTTTAAATGGATTTAATAGCCACCATGGTTGCTCCTGCTGATAATCTACCCACTTAAAAACTCTTGGACCATAAAGAAATTTACCAAAGTGTTAACACTGGGAAATGCCTCTGGGTTAGGGTTTCTCAAAGAGTGTTCCCAAAAACAGCCTTTTAAGAGGGGACACACACACACACACACACACACACACACACACACACACACGAAACCCAAACATACATTTTGGGAAAACAACATACTGTATCCTTGAGAATACTGTTTAAGTTTGTTTAGCCTGGCAGTTCCCAAATTTACTGGACCACAGAAATCCCACCCCCAGCACCTATCACCATGCCAATGAGTCTGAAGAAAGAACTTTGGGAAAGAAACATTGCTAGAGGTGATAGCATATGGACTACTCTTTTCCTGATCTTTTACTCCAAGTTTTCTTCAGAACATAGTTTACTTCTTATAAAAGATACCCAAACATGGTTTCTGCTATTTTTAATGGACATTTCTATTTGGTCAACCTGTGTGCCAATGACCACCACTAGTCAGAAAAAAACTTGAATTATCTTGATTATCCAGTCTCCCCTGACCATACTAGAGTGAACTGTGTCTCCATCAACGGCAGCCCAGGAGCCTGCACCTGTGTATGCAATGGGCTGGCGGCCCTGCCAAGGACAGTAGCTTGCTCCAGGCCCAGCTCTATCTTGCCATTTTCAGAGCACGAGGTCTTAGGACCTGGAACCCAGTCTGGCTGTCTTTTGCCTCTGAGTTCCTTGGGCCTTCGTGTACTTATTTCCTACCACTGATCTTTGGGAGGTAAGAAGCAAAACTAGCCCAGGGAAGACAGTAGAACATAGCCCCCAGTTTCTGGTAACTTTCTAATGGACAATTATTTTTCAAACTCTTGCATGTATTAATTTACAAGGGTTTTAAAGCAATTATCTGTACTTTTTTTTTTTTTGCTAAGATCCAAATACTGGCTAATGTCAAGATCTAGAAGTGAATATAGATATTAATTATTTAAGTATTGTAGACTGTACTATGAAATGGTATAAAGCACGAGCTTAGAGTCAAGCTGTCTTTGTTCAAAATCTAGCCCTGCCTATAGTTATACTATTTAACTTCTCTAAGCCTCTGTTTCCTTATCTGTAAAATGGACATACTATTAATAACCTCACAGAATTGTTTTGAATGAGACAAATGTGATAATTCCCAACAAGTATTTAGCATATGGCCTGGCCACATACAGAACAGTCATCAGTTTATGAAACAATCATGAGGATGTTTGTAAGTTTAATGAATTTAGACTCAGGTGTGGGCACATTATGGCCAGCCACCACTCTGTTTATATACTGTCTATGGCTGCTTGAGAACTACAAAGGCAGAGTTGAGCAGCTGTGACAGAAACTATCTGGTCCTATAGCTGAAAATATTCACTATACCTTTATAGAAAAAGTTTATTGATCCCTGGTGATCAACATTTAGGTAGATGAAGAACCAGGTCTTTTCCCTATAGAAGATTTGGTCGTTGGTCTCTTATTCTGATTAATGTCCCAATTCAGAATCAGATACATAAGTGTTATTTATGGTCATTTGGTCCACATGAGCTGTAGCTCACACTTTCCTTACAATGCATCACATGCACACAGCTCCCTGTCTCATGGCGGGTGGGGAAATCTACAGAGCCTGAGCTTGCCTATCGGTCTTTTGGCCTCTTTCCTGACCTGCCCACTCAAAGAGTACCTCCCCTATTTCAGAGTCCAGTGACCCCCAGCTGAAGTGTGTGAGTCCATAGCCATGACTCCCCTCCCCCAAGTCATATCTGTGCATTATGTAGAAACCACATGTATCCCCAGAGGTTGAGGCAAGAGGTGAAAGATGATCTGGAAGAGGCATTCAGGAAACTGAGCAAACAGAAACGAACGATGCTTTCAAGAAGGCTGGATCGCCACATAAAGGATTAATAAAGCAGCAAGGGGCCTTCAGAAATTAGGGCTGCAATGACACTGTCACTGCCAACAAGAGCCCAGTAAGGAGACTGAGGGTCAACCCAGAAACATGAAGAACACGTTTCAAAATCAGATCCTGGGACATCCCTGTATCTAATCATACTGCGTATTTTCTCTGGCAGGAAAGCTTGTTTATTTGGGAAAAATGAACTCACAGCATTAATGGATAATGCAGGTGAAGGGACTCCTGGGACTGGTCTCTGGGAGGGGGAATTTGAACAAAAGAAACCATTCTAACTGCTTTCATTTACGGTCTCTTAAAAAAAAAAAGTCTTAGCCAGCTGTTTGGACAGATTAAATCTGAGGTGTACTTAGATATACACAGACTTTCTGGTGGTCACTTGCTGCCTTGCTGGCAAAGATCAATATTTTTTAGAAGTCAATCCATAGAGCAAGGCCTTGTTAAACACTGGCATGAATGGTGAGGCTGGTCCGGGAAGAGGTGGAGGCAGATGATTCTGTCATTACCTTACAGAGCAGGATTTCAGAGATAGTATGCACAGTGACAAACCTCACTTCAAGCCAAGTCAGTTTTCAGCCATGCTAATTTAAGTGTAACTGGCTGGCAGGAGGGGCAAAATAAAGCTCCCTAACAAAGCTCATTTTCAATTTGGGAACATTCAGCTTGGCCAGAGGCAGGAGACCTGCACTGATATAATGCATATGGGCTACTATGCTAAGCAGGTTGTTTTAAAAAATAAGAGACCCTATAATGTGAGGACCTTTCAGAGCTAGCACTACGGTTTCACCTTAGATTATTGGGGTGCAGTGGTGAGATCACAGCTCACTGCAGCCTCGAACTCCTCAGCCCAGGTTTTATAAGGAAAGGCAAAGGGAACTCACATTCACCCAATGCCCTCTGTGTGGGGTGCTCCATATGGTTATATCATCATACTCACAAATGTTCCTGGCCTGTGTAGAGAAAAATTAGGGGGCTGAGCTAATTGCCAGACTTTGCCTAAATTGTCTGAATTTTTCTAGCACAGTATATTACATGATCGGGCAGGACTGATGAGAGAGGGAGAAGGAACCCGAAATACCTTAGAAATATGGGAAAGTAATGCTGAGAAATTATGGCAGGAGCCAGGGGCTTTGATTAGCAAAGAAGAGAGAATGGTTAGAGTGTTCAGGATGCTGATCAGAGTCTCCGGATAGCCAGGGGTCTATGAAGACCAGTTTCCCCTTCCAGCCTGGCAAAGGAAAGCTGAGGACCAACCAAGGCAATGCCTGGCCTCTCCAGAGATCTGGGTTGCAGAGAGAAACCACATCTTGATCAAGAGGTGGAACTTAAAGTTCAGGGAATGAGGCTGGCTCAAGACTTGGAAAGGGGATAAAGGGAGTACTAGGGGGTGACCATGTAATGTATTTAGCATCCACCAGACTGAACGATGAGGTCTGTGCTTAAAATCTGCTCAAGGTTGGATGGCCTATTGCCTAAGGCAGGCGTCCTCAAACTATGGCCCGAGGGCCACATGTGGGTGTTTTTGCCCGTTTGTTTTTTTACTTCAAAATAAGATATGTGCAGTGTGTATAAGAATTTGTTCATAGTTTTTTTTTAAACTATAGTCTGGCCGCCCAACAGTCTGAGGGACAGTGAACTGGCCCCCTGTTTAAAAAGTTTGAGGACCCCTGGCCTAACATATACTCATTGCATGGACTGAGCGGGCTGGACCTAAATCTGCCATTCAGGCTAGCTCAGCCCACTCTGTTGTTTTCCCTACCTTCAGGCCAGAATCAGACCTGAAGCTGCTCAAAGGCTGTATAATTCTAGGGGCAGTCCTCAGGAGAGAAATCTATGGCTTATCTTCATGCTAGCCACAAAAAACGTAACCAAGACAATGGTAGCTTCCTAGCTAAGAAAACCTCCACCTAGAAGCCATCTCTATCAGATGGCTATACAGATACTCAGCTGTGGAAATGAAAATCTCTTCTGAGAACGCTCAACAATATTTTTAATCATTCACCCAAGCAAACAGTACAAAATTAATGGAGTTAGAAATCCTGCAAATTCGGCCGATCACACCTGTAATCCTAGTACTCTGGGAGGCCGAGGCGGGAGGATTGCTCAAGGTCAGGAGTTCAAAACCAGCCTGAGCAAGAGCGAGACCCCGTCTCTACTATAAATAGAAACAAATTAATTGGCCAACTAATATATATAGAAAAAATTAGCCGGGCATGATGGCGCATGCCTGTAGTCCCAGCTACTCGGGAGGCTGAGGCAGCAGGATTGCTTGAGCCCAGGAGTTTGAGGTTGCTGTGAGCTAGGCTGACGCCATGGCACTCACTCAAGCCTGGGCAACATCAAGTGCCCATCAATCCAAGAATGGATTAATAAAATGTGGTATATGTATACCATGGAGTACCATTTAGCTCTAAGAAACAACAGTGATATAGCACCTCTTATATTTTCCTGGTTAGAGCTGGAACCCATACTATTAAGTGAAGTTTCCCAAGAATGGAAAAACAAGCACCACATATACTCACCAGCAAATTGGTATTAACTGAGCAGCACCTAAGTGGACACATAGGTACTACAGTAATAGGGTATTGGGTAGGTGGGAGGGGAGGGGGGCGGGTATATACATATTTAATGAGTGAGATGTGTACCATCTGGGGGATGGTCATGCTGCAGACTCAGACTTGTGGGGGGAGGGGGGGAATGGGCATTTATTGAAACCTTAAAATCTGTACCCCCATAATATGCTGGGGGGAAAAAAAAAGCCTGGGCAACAAAGCAAGACTGTCTCAAAAAAAAAAAAAAAAGAAATCCTGCAAATTCATTCTACTGAGAGGCAGTAGCACTGACTTGGCTTTGCCACTAATTATATGACCTTGGGAAGAGTCATTTAGCTCCTTTGTGCCTTGATTTCCTTCTCTAGAAAATGTAGGGTTAAAACTAGTCCAGCCCTTGAAGGTCTAAAATTCTACAAGGAGTGAAAAAAATTCTACAAACAGCTAAATGAGAAAAATGTCTAATACCACAAGTAGCCAAAAAGAAGAGGGGAGTGGAAGGAAAGCTGGGCAATGCTGGTAGATCAAGACCAAGAGGCTGGGAGGAAAGTTATGTCCCTGACCCTGGATCTGAGCAACCAGATCAAACTTACACACCAGTCTAAAAGGATGCAGATCTCACCCCAAAGCTAGAACTGACTTTTCCTTAAAAACAAACATTAGTCAACAGCAGCAGCTAATGTCAACATTAGCTATGATTATATCACATGCAAGTGCTGAGCCTTTGAATTACACAGGACTTGTATCCCAAACGAAGACCCAAGATAGGGAGATGGAGTCTAGCATATTCTCTTCCCTATCCTCATAGGGATCAGCACCATAATGACAACATTTTGTTATGGCTTCCATCTCATCTTTGCCATTGGACTTGAGGTTCTCCAGAGAAGGTTCTTCTTCTTTTTCTTTTGAAGCCCAGTTTTTGGCATGTGGTAAATCCTCAGTAAACTGGGTTTCTTTCATTCATTCAATAAGCAAACTCAGATTAGCCTTTGTAGGCTTAAACAGGGGGCAAAGATGATTATTATATGAGGACAGAAAATGACAGAAAGATGGCAGAAAACTTTTGTAATATGCATTTTTTCTTCATTTACACTAGCATAAACTCACTGTAGAAAATTTAAGAAATGCAAAGAAAAACATTCACCTGAAATGATAGGTAGGTAGGTGGGAGAATTTAAGAGTATTACAGGCATCCACAGTATGTGATGCATGTTTGCTAATTTAATGTACTTTCCTCGCCACTGTCCAGATCCCATCAAAAAAGTGACTAGGAAATAATATTCTCCTATTTTCTATTTATGCATGCCTGATAAAAACAAAAAGTATTGTGCACAGAGCTTAGCAAGATTTTTTTCCTCCTGTTTTAGTTCAGCTCCCCAGAGGGGCAAATAAAAAACTCCTGGGTTTCATACCTTATAGACCTTAGAGATTAACTACAAAGAGCAGCCTAAAATTCTAAAATGGACCTTACAGTACCTAGTTTCAGATTGACCGCACTTAACAGATGAAAAAACTAAAGCCAGCGATCAAGTTCCTTGTTAAAATGTAGTTGTAGGAGCAGAACTGGGCCCCAAACTTCAGGCTCTTAAGTCCACCATTCCTTACTATGAATTAGCTACCTAGCTAAAACCAAAATCATCCCTAAATTCTGTCACATTGTTTACATTGTTTCTGAAAAGCAATCAATTAGAGATGATTCTAGAATAAGAAAAGTAGAAGACTGTGGCTAGGATATTTACATGGACTAGAATTCTCAGGCACCAGGTTAAATAAATCATCAGAAGGGCAGTCAAAGTTACTCAATACTTTCAAAGTTCTTTCTGGCTTTGCCATAAACATTTTAGCTCTATCAGAAATTTTAAAAATAGGGCAAGTGACACTGAGTCAGGGCTCACTGGTCAACAGATTGGGAAACTATCAGATAAGGCTTACAAATCACTGACTTTGGCCTCAACTTCCTCACCACAGTGTACCTGAATTCTGTGTAGGGAAGGCACATTTGGAGAGCACCCAACTTGTTTCAAGTATCTCCTTCTCTCAGGAACTCCCAAGAGTAATCATAATAAAACTTGCTGGGAGAGGGGTAGGAAGGAGGGTACCCAAAGTATCTCACTCAGGAAAAGAACCTTGCTCTGTATGGTAGCTGAGTGCCTTAAAGGAGAGTCTCATATATATGAATAGTTAACCTTCCAAATTCAATAACACACACTCAGCAAGAGAACGGAAGCAAGAGCCTGAGAACATTTAAAGAGAGTAGAGGCCCTTCCTCCAAGAGAACACATACCCTGGACTTGGCTAAGATTTGGGGGCCCCTGTCCACATGCCTCTTCTGGTACATGTGCCTTGCCATGTCTGATGTGACTTTAGTGTTTAAAGACACAGGACAGACTCATTTTCAACATGGCTCCTAAATGCTAGCCAACTACTTCATCTGGTGCTCTGTCACAGAAACATCAGTCCTTCTCAACACTGGAGGAAAAGGCGAAGGCTTGTATACAGGTCTCCTACAGAACTTTCAAGTTGGTAGCTATGACTGCATGTGATTTTCAGCTCTATGCAAAAGAGGCAGAGACCTGTGGGAGAGATAAGAAGCCCCTGACCAAACCTCAACCTCCCTGATCAGTACTCATTTAAGGAAGAAAAAGAACCCAGGGAACAGGGTTTACCCACTCTCTTCACTTAGCTGCTATTTTAAAAAGATAGCTCTTAAGTTTCATTAAAATAAGCATCAGATGGCTAAGAGGGAAGAGCAGAGGGAATGGACAATGAATATGGGCACCACCTATTTTATAGACTGAAAACCAAATAGTAATATACAAACTAGAAAAAAACAGAAAAGGTACATTTGTGGCAGAGCTAAGAACAGATCCTCGGTGTCCTCGAATTTCATCTTTCAGAACACTTTTAAAACAAGGTTCACTCTCATATGTTCTTTTGTTTCAAGTCTCCCCAAAGATCGATGCCTCTCTTTCTCCATTCAAGAGGGAGAAAGGGGTTCCATGGATTTCATTTGTTTGTTTCCTGTGAGCCCTGGAGGAACTGTCCCTGATGATTAGAATGTTCAGACTGTGAAGAGCAAGTCTTAACATTTGAACATTCCAAAGCTACCAGCGGGGGACTAATTCAGCTCAAAGGGATTTTGCTACCACTCAGGAGAAGCTGGAAATAAACACAAACATACGGACAATATGGTGCATAGGATGCCAATGGATAAGCAAAAGACTGCACAAGGAGACTGGAGTGGGAAAGGAAGCCATGCTCCCAACTCTTAGGTCCTCCTGCCATGCCTCCTCCTCAGAAGACAGCAGTAGACAACTGTGTTGGAGGGCTCAGGCATCTGCCTTCCCTATCCCCTTCAGTTAACTGATAACTTTAGATGTTATCAGCTCAGTTTATATTTCAGGGTGAGGAAGGGGAAAAGCCCATGGGCTTCAGAATAGAACCAAACATTTATAATCTGTTGCTGAGCAAGGCATTGTGGGAAGGGTAGGTCACACATTCCAGGGACTGGCCACAGTCTCACTGGTCCATTTCAGAGCAGATTCTGGGATGTTTAAGTCTGGATAAGCAATGGTCAGAAGCTCATAAAACAGATTAACCAGGGCATAATAAAGCCACTAACTTATCTGCTTATCTGCACAATGTAAGTATAGATATGTTTTTTCTTTTTAATTTACGCTGTATAGGTAACACATTCATTTGATTCATAAATCAAAATATAAAAAGGGCATACTCCCACTACTTTCCATCTGCCCCATTCCCTCGCCCACCCAACAAGCCAATAGCAGCCACCTCTTAAAAGTTTTTCTGTGTATCCTTCCAAGGGTTTATGCAAATATAAATATGTATTCTCCCCCACCCCCTCTTTTCACAAAAAAGGTAGCATATTATTCATATGTTCTGAATCTTGCTTTTTATCTCCTGAAGATCTTTCCATATTGGAACATAGATAACTAATTCATTTCCTTTTTATATCTGTACAATATTCCACTATTAGG